GGACAAATGTGAGCTACTACAGATCATTTGGAGTCCTACGACCTATAATGGTTAGAGAAAGAATAGACATCCAGGGCTCCAAAAGCATACCACAATGGAAGGAAGGGAATACATACATTTTTAAAACGATGATAACTTTGTGCCAGTAATAGTGCCACTGTGAGTAGTGTGTAGATAAGTACAGTCATGCTGGAAAGCATTTGGCCTTATATATCATAATTCTTAAATGATTTCTTTACCCTTGCTCCAACTTCTAGGACTCTTTCCTAAGGAAATGACCGGTGGTATACACTAAGATTTCTCTGTGTGATGTGTGTCACATGATTATTTATAAAAGCAAAATAAGGGATTGTCGAATAAATTTTGTATTCATAGAACAATGTATTCTGCAATATTGAGAATCACAGTTTCATAGAATACTTATTGCATTGTTCTCATGCAAATTTCACATGCAGAATTCTCATGATTTGGTATTTGATCAAAAAGATAGGACGTAGAACTGTATATAGAAGCTGCTCTTTTTATAGACTTCCCACTCACAGTCTTTTATAGATGTGAACTAAGCCACACAACAGAACAAAATGGGCTGATTTTACCCAACAACAACACATGTTGTGATAAGTTTAAAGTCACTATGGACTTTTGCACAAATGGATTTACATTTGAGAACCAAGCCTATTTTTAAGTAGAATTACTTCTATATGCAAAATGATTTTGATTTGTTTCTACACATATACATAATCTATATAGCTGCATTGGTATATAATTGAGAGAAAACACACCAAAATACTAACCAGAGGTGGAATTATGAATAATTTTGATTTTCTTTATAAGTGTTGTTTTCTTTATCATACTTTTCTGTATTTCTATATTTTCGACAATGAACATGTATAATTTTATGTTTAGAATAAAATAAACTCTATAATAGTAGCAAAGGAATTTGTATACAAAGAGCAGTATAAGAAGGGAGGTTCTATAATATGGCAAATGGAAATAGTCTTGCTTGAAATAATGCAATACACCAGCTAAAAAGACTCTTCGATGCATCACGTAAATTCATTTTCTTCCTTAGTCGAGAGATGCATTCGCAGCTGGGAATGCAGCTGACCATTTAGTAAGAGTACTCCTACATTCAGTTAGTACCCTTTATTTAGTCGACAAGACGCCAGTGATAACAATACTTTTAACAGGGACGATTCCTTATTAGGATATGTCCTGGCAGCCAGGCTCTGTGAAAAATACTCTATTCATATTATCTCATAATATCCAAATTTTTGCTATTGTGATTCCCTTTTACATATGAGGATATTTAGATCCACAGAGCTTGTGACTTGCCCGAATTAGGCGGTGAGGGAATGGCAGATTCTCCTGCTGTCCCAACCTTTGATATACTGGAAAATACTGACAATTTGGGAAGAAAGAAGTTATATTGGGATATGTAGAATAATTGGCCGCCAAAAGGTGATAATTCAGTAATGAGTTAAAAGAGAGATAACGAAATGAGTCCTGTTGGGCGGACCCACCTGGAGCCTTGGAAGTACTTGATAATATCCATCTAGAAGTGGCCAGACTACTTTTTCAGTTTTGTGTGCAGCTGTTGAGATAGACTGTTTAATCAATGGAGAATTTCAGGCCATTCTTTTTCTTCCCATTATTGGCTAGTTGTAAACTCTGTACTTGGTTGAAAGACACCACAGAACCAAGTGATGAACAATAAGGGATAACTCAGTAGAGGAATGAAAGCAGAGTTTTAAGAAACTGCTGATGTTTAGGAAATGAAAGGGGCTGATAACAGCAATTAATGATTGTGAAATCTGGGCCTCTGCCGTGAGTCTTAAAACCAGTTCTAAAGCAGAAGAAGATTAAAATACGTATTGATCTGCTGATGGGCCAGAGGTAAAGTTTAAAAGCAAAGCATTGACCAGTAAGTATTACATTAATTAAACCCTTCTCTGCGAAGTGAATAAACACAGGCTGATAACTAGTATCTGTGAGTTCCTGAATTGATTCTGCATTGAGCATACTTCAAAGATGCGGGGCCGTGTCCATCTGCAATAACCTTCAGAAAGGCTGTCTTGTGGCAGAGGGAGGCCATAAGACACTCAAAGTTCTCGTGTGCAACTGATCCCCCTACTTACTATACTAATGCAGCGGCTGTAATAGCAACATGCTTTGAAGTGAAAGCTTTGCTGGGGTTATGCACTCATTAAAAACTACCACGCTTTAATACAATCCAAGAACTCTAATGGGAAGGATTTCACATTAAGAGAGCAACAAGAACCCAGATTGCCTCTCTCTGTGCCCTCTTGCTTGCTTGGCACCCACTGAAGATGTGGACCATCTCTTTCAACTTTAGACAGAACACTCTGTAAAAGTGTTGAGGACCTCAGAGAACTTGCCTATTGACTTACATTTAGGTCAATGTTTCCATTCTGCTGTTTATCTCATTTGTTTTTTTCACATATGGCCGATTAACACAGGTTCTGCAAGGATCCTAAGGGGCTGGGGAGCATAGTAATTAAATACTATGGGAATTTAGAGTGTGGTAAAGGTGGTATTTCAAATCACTGGAGAAAGATAGATCGTTTAATACATGGCATTAGAATTACTAGCAGCCACTTGGGAAAAAATAAAACTAGATCACTTATGTGGAAATAAATGCCAGAAAAAAAATTTTAATACTTAAAACTATGAATGTACTAGAAAAATACATAGATGATTTGTCTTTCATAATATTGGCATGGAAAAGGTCATTCTAAAAAAAAAAGGGAGAAAAGAAAAGGTCATTCTAGGCACAACTCCAAACCTAAAATCTATAACAGAAAATACTCATAAATTTGACTGTGTACACATTTTAAATTTTATAGAGAAAAACATACCACAAGCAATGTCAAAAGGTAAACAACAGGGCTTCCCTGGTGGCACAGTGGTTGAGAGTCTGCCTGCCAATGCAGGGGACACGGGTTCGTGCCCCAGTCCGGGAAGATCCCACATCCCGCAGAGTGGCTGGGCCCGTGAGCCATGGCCGCTGAGCCTGCACGTCCGGAGCCTGTGCTCCGCAACGGGAGAGGCCACAGCAGTGAGAAGCCCGTGTACCGCAAAAAAAAAAAAAAAAAAGATAAACAACAAACCTGAGAAAAATGTTTGTAACACATATCAGAAAATGAGCTAATTTCTTTAACATTTAAAGAACTCTTAGAAATCAGTATGAAGAAGATGAACACTCCAGTAAAATATGGGTAGACATGGAACATCAATTCCCAGAAACTAAATACAAGGAGATTCACTGCAGCCTTTTTTATAATAGCCAAATCCTAGAAATAAAAGTTCTTCAATGACATGACTTATTAACTAAATATGATAACAGCTGTTAAAAAGAATGAAGTAGAGATACATATATTGATATGGAAAGATGTTCACATGTCCAAAATAATAGTTTTAAGTTAAAGATACCCAGCAAGTTGCATAACAGTGTTTACTGCAATCCCATTTGTATATAGAAATATATATCAATCTGGAAGGATATACAAGTTAATGGTTAACTCTGGGGATTAGGACTGGAATTTAAAAGGATAATTTTAGTTCTGTGTTGTTTGAATTTACATTATATTATTTTTTAAATCTTAAACATGACTTAAATAAATAAATATGAAGGCAAATTTTGGTAAAGCCTCAAACTATGTAATGAAAATGGAACAGGAGAACAGATACATCACGCATTGAGAAAGAATAATCCACAAGGCTTAGTCCTGAATTGGTGTAGGGTGACGGAATTGTATCCTTGCGTCCTGGGTCTCATATTCTTTAACCATCTGTGTCAATCTGGGAAGCAGGCACTGAGCCAGAGTTGGGCGTGCAAGAAGTGTATTGAGGAGTAAGGCCTGTGAAAGGTCGATGGGGAGGGAGCCGGACTGGGGAGGGAGCCTTCAGACTGTGGTGCTATTCTGACACCTAGAGAAGGCAAAGAAGTGAAGAAGGACTAGGCAGGGAGAGACTCCAAACTCATGCAGGTCAGACAGAGCCAATCCAACGTGAGCTCTAGAGCAAATACGCCTATTAACGGGAGACCTGTTTTGGGCAGAGATGGCCAGACCCTCTGACCCCCACCATGCTCAGCAGTTGGCTGGGGGCTGCCAGAGGAGCATGGCCTCGCCTTCTGCACTGTTGAAGATCTCAAAGGTCCAGCAGCTGGGGGCTCTTAGTTCCAGGACTCCTTGCATCAGAACAGCAAGTTCTTTCTTAAAGGGAGAGCAGGTCAACACCTCCTTGGCTGCCAGAGTCCAGGTCCACTTCATATATGTTCAAAGAGCATCTCTTGTAGGTTGCCAGTGGGCCTCTCTTTGGGAGAGGAAATTTAGAAGAATGAGGTTAGAAGGACACACTACAGCCCCTGTTGCTACATTTGGTCTCAGGGCTGCAAGTGATACTCACATTCTCCCTCCTCTCCTATCTGTCCCAAATTCCCCTTGCCCTCAGCTCTCACCTCTACTGGTCTCAATGACTTATCTGGTGACGTTACCCAAATCCTCATTCCTGAGGTATCTGAGCCTCTGATAACCATCCCTTTCTCAGGCCCTTGTCTGTTCACTATCAAAACTGTGCAGGGAAGTGCCAGAATGGGGATGCTGTTGGCCGCAGGGGTAGGATAATTTCTCATTGTGCGGGAATCACATAGCACACACCCCGCCTCCCTCTCACCCCGCAACCGCCATCATTGTGAAATCCAAAACATGCACACACATTTCCATATGTCTCTGGCCAAGATCTATAAAACTCAAAAAGTTTGTAAACTTACAAACCCAAAGCCTTTTCTCTCCAGATTGTTGTCTATAAAATACCTTTGAAAAACAAAAAATCAACTTTACTGCGTGCAGCCACCCTCCTTCTGGCAATGTGCATCTCCCAAATTGCCTAAATGAGATGTGTATCTGTGACAAGGAGGTGTGGGTGAAAAACAAACTGTTTAATACTTGAAAAGGTTTGAAGTGAAAAAAAATTTTTTAAATCATCTTTAATGCTCTCCATTTTCCAGTAAAGCTGAGGTCAGGCCATCAGCCAACTGAAGGTGGGGAAGGAACTGTGGAGACTGGAGGAGAGGAAAGAAGATGTGAAATACTCATCTCAGAGTGGGGAAGAATGGCTTCTTAGATGGAGCCCGTCAGCTCAGCTGTGTGATTTTCTCCAGCGGTTGTTCAGGTGAAGGCATGAAGATTGTCGGGTTCATTCTGGAATGGGGTTTGCTCCAGACACAAGGGGAGACAGGAAAGGAAGTGGAGGGCACTTGTGAGGAGGTGCTTATCGTGAGGAGCCGTAGCACCTGGTCGGGACAAGGATTGACACTCCTTCCCACCTTTATGTATTTAACATCTCCTTGTCATCTGGCTCCTCTTAAGACTGGTTCAAGTCCCCGCAATCTTAGAAATGTCCTTTCTTGGCCCCATTCATATCCCTGTCCAGCCTCCACTCTGTCTTTGGCTTCTCCTTCACAGCCAGATTTCTCAAAAGGTTTGTCTATACCGTGATCTCCATTTCCTTGCCTCTCATCACTCAACCCACTCCAAACGGGTTTCCTTCTCAGTCATGAGCCTGTGCAGTCTCATAAAAGTCACCCATGACTTCTAGGCCACTAAGTCCAATGGATATTTAGGAACATATTTTAGTGTTACCTTATTTGCTCTCTCAGGAGGATTTGGCACTTTTGAGCATTCACTGCTTCTTGGAATACTTTTGTCCCCCTAGCTTCTGTGACATTCTCTTTGTTTTCTCTCCTTCCTCAATGACTGCTCCTGCATTTTCTTTATTCTTGACTCATCCAGTTCTGCCTTACTTTTCCAGTCAGGATCGAGTTTGGACGTACTTAACAGAAAAAAAATAGTAGCTTAAATAAGATAGAAGAGTAATTCTTTTACAAACAAGGAAGCCCAAAGATAGGCCGTACAGGAATTCAATATCTATCTTTCTGTTTCAGCATCCTAGCATCCTCAAGGTCACCCCATGGTCCAGGATGGCCGCCATCACATCCATGTGCCAGGAGGCATCTAAAGGCAGGGAGAAAAGGCAAATTGTTGTGCCTTCTAGGTGAGTCATTAGAGAGGCTTCTTGTAAGCCCCACACACCCCTTGGTCCACATTCTGTTGACCTCCCAGCTATAACAGATGCTGGGAAATAGTGTCTTTTAACTGAATAATGAGGGCCCCGTTACTAAGAAAGAAGGGGAGGATGGATACTGGGAAGCTGATCAGCAGTTAGATTTGGATATTCCTGGGGGCCTTATCCTGAAACCCTGTCTTTCTCATCCTATACTCTTTTTAGACACACTCACCCACGTCCATGGCTTTCAATACCATGTTACACCATTGATTACAAGCCCATCTTTTTTCAGTGCTTCATGCTCCCTTGAGCAGAGCTGTTTTGCTAGACCGTTGGCCTTAAGATCCTGCATGAACACTATATTGTGAGCTTGCACTTGCACCCAGGTATACCCACAACCTAGTACAGAGCCAAGGTTCAGGAAACATCACTTGAATGCAAATAATGTCAGGACTGGGGAAACCAAAGGAGCCCAGAAAGGAAAGGGCCATGGGAGCCATTTCTCTATGATGCAGCTGTCATGTTGGGGGTCTCTGGGGTCACTGAGGAGGAGTGAGAGGGCCAAACTGCCCCGCTTCCATCTCTGCTGATTCCAGGGAGAGACCCTTTGCTGCCTGCACAGGCTTTGCTTCCTGCTTGTTCATTCCTCAGTGACACATCTGCATGGATATCCCTGCAGAAGCCTAGCTAGCCTGGAGTATCTTGTAAGCAATCTGGCTATTAAAACTATTCAGCCCAAGAAGGTTTTATTTTATCAAACATTATAGAATTATTATATAAAGTTTGGGGAATGAGGACCATTCACATCAAATTCACCCACAGGAAGTAGGTGAAGGCCTAATTTGTAGAGGATCTGGGCTGCCTCACCTCCACCAAGCACACAGAGGCATACTTGAGAACATTCCCATTTCCACTATATTTAAATCAACAATTTCTTGTTTAGGTTTCTACCCTATGCTAGATACTCTCTTAAAGGCATTTGGGATGTAAGGATATAAATTACTCAGAATAGGAAGTAGTTCTATTTTTTTCTGAATTTTAATAATGATGAATTGAGGAGGATCAATCCTTGTTTTGGAGCAAAAAGATTATTTTTAACAGAGTTGCCAGCATTCAATTTGCCTGTAAAGCAGTTTTTAGATCTAGAAGATAATTGCCATTAACTGTCTACTTTCAAGATGTTTTTTTCCTCAAATTTATTTTTATAGCAGCCCAAGTAAAATATATTTTGTTAAAAATTAGTTCCACTTCCCTTCCAAATGATATTGGACTAAATAACTCAGAAGTTTATCTGGATTAAAAAACACAGACACAGGGCTTCCCTGGTGGCGCAGTGGTTGAGAGTCCGCCTGCCGATGCAGGGGACACAGGTTCGTGGCCTGGTCCAGGAAGATCCCACATGCCACGGAGCGGCTGGGCCCATGAGCTGTGGCCGCTGAGCCTGCGCGTCCGGAGCCTGTGCTCCGCAACGGGAGAGGCCACAACAGTGAGAGGCCCGCGTACCGCAAAAAAAAAAAAAAAAAAAAAAGACATTTGTGCATTCATGAAATGTAGGAACTTTGGCTATACTAAATGGTATTAAAGGGAGGGATGACTTCTGAAGGTTAAGAATGTGAGGACATCTATGTCACAGACTTAGATCTTAAAAGAAACCTAGTAAGGGTGATAAGACCATTCAATGGGGAAAGAATAGTCTTTTCAACAAATGATGCGGGGACAACTGGATAGCCACATGCAGAAGAGTGAAGTTGGACCCTTATATCATATACTCTAAAAATTAACTCGAAGTAGATCAGAAACCTAAATTTCAGAGCTATAAACTATAAAACTCTTAGAAACCATAGAGTAAATCTTTGTGCCCTCAGATTTGGCAATGGAACATCAAATATGACACCAAAACATGAGCAACAAAAGAAAAAGTAGATAAATTGGATGTCTTCGAAATTAAAAACTTTGTATATCAAAGGATACGGCCAAGGATGTGAAAAGATAATCCATAGAATGGAAAAAATACCTGCAAATTATACTTGCAATAAGGAGCTTGGATCCAAAATATATAAGAACTCTTACAACTCAATAATAAGAAGCAAATAACTCATTAAAAAATGGACACAGGATCGGCATGGACATTTCTCCAAAGAAAATATCCGAAGAGCCAATAAACGCATGAAAAGATGCTCAACCTCTTGCAAATCAGAGCCTCAATGAGACCACTTCAAACCCAGTTGTATGGGTATAATAAAAATAGTCTGATAATAACAAGTGTTGGTGAGGATGAGGGGAAATCGGAACCCTCACACATTGCTGGTGGGAATGTAAAATGGTGCAGCCACTTTTGAAAGCAGTCTAGCAGTTTCTCAAATGGTTAAACATAGAGTTGTCATGTGACCCAGCAACTCCACTCCTCAATATATACTTAAATGACAACATAGGTCCACATAAAATCTTATACAGGGATGTTTATAGTAGCATTATTCATAATAGTTAAAAATGGAAACAACCGAAATGTCCACTAACTGATGAATGGGTAAATAAAATCCAGCATATTCACAAAATGGGATATTATTTGGCCATAAAAAGAATGAAATTCTGACTCATGCTATGACATCGAAGAACTTTGAAAACAGTATGCTAAGTGAAAGAAGCCAGCCACAAAACATCACATATTACGTGATTCTCTTTATATGAAATGTCCAGAATAGGCCAATCTACAGAGACAGAGTGTACATTAATTATTGCCTGGGGTGGGCAGAGGGAGAGTGAGCGCTAGAACATACAGGGTGTCTTTTTTAGTTGATGAGAAAGGTCTAAAATTGACTATGATAATGGTTGCACATATCTGTAAATATACTAAAAACCGTTGCATTGTATGCCCTAAATAAGTAAACTGTGTGATTTCTGAATTGTATCTCAGTAAAACTACATATATCGTATATATATAAAAGAATACATCTAGTTTGGCTTCCACTTTAGATGCAGTTGGACAACTCATCCTTCCAAGGCCAAACTCTTCCATAATGTGAAGGGCTCCCAGGGAAAGGACATCTACCACCTCCTGCAAACAGCCCTCAAGGGCAGAACACTGTCATTCTCTAGTCCATAGACTCTTTCCTACCTTTACTGAGAAATCTTGATGTTCTACATCTCGGTGTCAAATTTAGACAATTTAGACACCTGTAGGGACAAGCCAGGTAGCAGAAATGTCGCTGAGGGTCAGGGGGCCCTGGGGCATTTGGTGAATGGGGGGTGCAGTTGGGAACTGCCACACTGTGACGTGCACAAACGTGCAGCCCTGATAACTCACCAGAGACTTTCGAAATTGGAACAGAATGAAACACACACAGAGCCAGTACTATGTCAAGCAAGGAAAGCACAGCACTGGGCAAGATCTCTCCCGTGGGTCATGGGTTCTTGATTTTTGATCTACGAAAGATGAGCAGTAGCTGTAAGTAATGTCACTTTTTCTTTTTCCTGGCTGAATTTTTTTCAGTGTTCTCAAGGCCAGGTAGTCTTAGAAAATCATCTTTCCTTCCCTTATTTGCCGTCTCTGGTGCTGGTTATGCCCAGTGCTGATGAATTAGTTAAGACCTCCATTTCAACCAGGAAAGCAGCCTGTATCTAAACCTCTGCTTTAGGCCTTCACTACTGGCTTGTATTACCCATCTTAGAGTTGGCAGTGTCCAAAGGTGAGGTGGACAGACACGGTGGTCGCCATTTCTTGTGCTTCTGTCGTGTCTGCAGTGAGCCTAGCTACCTGCAAAGCCCCACTGGCTCCTCTCTGTTCCCAGCTGCAGCCCTCATTAGTGTTGAATTGATCTCTGGGGCTGCAGCACCTGGTCAATGGCAGACACCCCCCCCCAGCCTTCCTCCCCCTGGTGAGAGGTAAAAGGCTGCAGTCCCAGTGGGAAGCTTGCGCTTACTGTAAACCCATCCAGACTCCCCACCGCGTGTTTGCACACAGCCCTCGCCTCTTCAGCTCCCTTCTATAAGAGCCCCACTCTACAGTAAACATTTTAGCAAAGTGCATTTTATATGGGGGTGTGAAATGTGAGCTCCAAAGGGACACTTTGTAGTTAAGCGGAAAGAGGACACACTGATTCTCATTCATGTAACACTTACTAATGGTCAAGGGTGAGTACTTGGATTTTATCTGAGCATGGAATTCTATTTCTAAATTCCTCTGTTTTCTAGAGATCAGCAGGATTAGTTTCACTGGCAAATAATGAGACAGAAAAGGCCCAATTAGAGTATTTTGTCCTTATATAGTACCTTTCATCCAATTGTTTCGAAGCCTTTTTTGTTAGTCATAAAAAAGTCCTCCACCCCCAACAGCTTGTCATGTAGGTAGTACTTGTCAGCTTGGAACCTGAGACAGACCTTCAGTCGAGCCCAGGATCTTGTCCTCTCAGAAGGTTCTTGACACTTATGCATCATCTCATTGCTCTTTTTCTAATTTCTGCAATCAGTTTCAGTGCAAATTTTCATTTGCTGTGTAACCAGGACCTATGAGGGAGCCATTGTGTTATGTAATCATCTTATTTTTAAAGAGAGGGACGCTGATCTCAGGCATAAAATTCTTGAATTATAGAGCTGGAAGGGACCTTAGAAATCACTTGGTCCCCTCTCTCTCGGTAGATATTATACAGGAGACACAGAGAGGGTGTGCAACTTGCTCAAGGTCACACAGCAAGGCAATGGCTGAGACAGGACTAGAACTCTGGATGTGGAAATTGGGAGGTGGTTTTTTGTTTTTCACAACCACTGACAGAGATGCAGAGATTATGTCAGTGGTTCTAAATATGGCGAATATGCAGTATGAACATTATAGTGGTGAAATACAAAGATACCAGCCAACCTTTGAATTTAGGTGATTGAATGGAAGACCACCCTCAATCCCTCCACCTCCCACCACATATATATAAAAGAGAAAAACAGGGCTTCCCTGGTGATTCAGTGGCTAAGAATCCACCTGCCAGTGCAGGGCACACAGGTTCGAACCCTGGTCCGGGAAGATCCCACATGCCGTGGAGCAACTAAGCCCATGTACCACAACTACTGAGCCTGCGTTCTAGAACCCACGTGCCACAACTACTGAAGCCCATGCGCTTAGAGCCCGTGCTCCACAACAAGAGAAGCCACCGCAATGAGAAGCCTGCGCGCCACAACAAAGAGTAGCCCCCACTTGCCGCAACTAGAGAAAGCCCGCATGCAGCAACGAAGACCCAATGCAGCCAAAAATAAATAAAATAAAATGAATAAAATCTATCTTTAAAGAAAAAAAAAGGGAAACATCCGTCTAAGAATTCATTTGGTAAGTTAATCACAATGGTGCTAAGATAGGCAGAGTGTGCGGAAAACTGAGCTGGGCAGCCCGAGTTGAGGGTGCAATCTAGTTTTCTTCAAGGGAGAAAGGCTCTGTGTTTAGTGGACTCACGTCATCTGGCCATTGATCAGATAAACTTTTTTTAGAAGAGCAGGGATAATACATCAGGCCTTTCAGAAACTGAACGAAATATTGCACAAGACTGTACCACTGCTTTCACCCTGATTACGTACTCTTCTATCAACTGTCTGACTCCTACCTTGGTACCCTAGGCAACAGGGTCCTGGAAAGGTGGGTCCCTCAAGAGTAGATACGACCTTCGATAGGCAGATAGAAAGTTCTATCTGCCATTATAAATTAACGCACTGGCTTTCTGATTTATACATCAATCTCTTATAAGTTTGATTACTGTGAACCATCCAATCATTTCTGGATGAGCCAATCATCTTCGGACTGTGCAGAACTAAGGACCAGAGATAGGACTGTGTTGATGCTCCCTCTCCATTTCCTCCCCACCTCCCTCACCAAACGCTGTAACTCTGACACCCAGCTGGAGACAGCCTCCTTGTCTCATTATATATTGCTAAATCATACCTAAGAATAGGTGGATTTTAACAAGGAAGAGCAACAGGAGAATATAACATGTAGTGTAACAGAGACTGTGCTTGTGACAAGTTCATGCACGTAGTAGATGAAGCAAAGGGAGAGTCCCTTCTTACTACTGACGAGGGGACCTTAAGCAGCACCCCAGGGAGCATGGGCATTGGGGGTGCACGTGAGGAACAGCAACTGTGGTCTGAAATACCTCAATCTGGATCCACGTGTAGGGAAGGGAGGTGAAAAGAGGAGACTTGAGCTCCTGCCAGAGGCCAGTAATGTGTGTGAATCAGGAGAGATAAATATTTGCCTGTGGGTTGAAGGGCACTGGACTTCTATGTATAGGATGTCCTTTAGGGGAAGGTTCAGAGACAGCATTTAGGCTTTAAATGAGGATGATGAGTGGGATTGTGGGATCCTTAGGAAACAATGGTGGAAATGAGTTAGTCAGAGGAGTCCCCACATGGGGCTTCAAAGCAGGGATACAGATTGGGCATCTGAGCAGAAACCCTCACAGTGAGTGTCAGTGTATTTTTTTTTTTTTTTTTTGGCTGTGTTGGGCCTTCGTTGCTGCGCGTGGGCTTTCTCTAGTTGCGGCGAGCGGGAGCTACTCTTCTTTGCGGTGCGTGGGCTTCTCATTGTGGTGGCTTCTCTTGTTGTGGAACACGGGCTCTAGGTGTGTGGGCTTCAGTAGTTGTGGCTCACGGGCTCTAGAATGCAGACTTAGTAATTGTGGCACACGGGCTTAGTTGCTCCATGGCATGTGGGATCTTCCCAGACCAGGGCTCGAACCCATGTTCCCTGCATTGGCAGGCGGCTTCTTAACCACTGCATCATCAGGGAAGCCCCAGTGTCAGTGTATTTTAAAGCCACAGGCAAAAAAGACAATTTCAACAAAGATGTTGAGGAACAGCCACAAAAAGACAGTCCTGGAAGCAGGAATGAAAGACGCCATTTGAGGAAGAGTAGTGGTATGGAAAATGCTGTGTTTTAAATATTTTGCAGTGTAATTCTCTTAGAGGTGAAGTTTTAATAATCCATATGAACTTATTATTCACAATTTTTCTGAATAATGACAGGCAAAATGGTCTTCTCTGTTGTTAGGAGTGACAGCGGAGCCCAATTATGCAGTTTCTTTTAATAATGGAGCAGAATGTGACTACTTTTCAGAGGCACAGCCAGCCAGCAGCCACTGTCACCTTTTCTATTCAACAAAAGGAGAAATTCATCCACTCCTGCATCTGTCCAGACAGCCGCTCAGCATCTACTGAACTATGTATCAGGACTTGGTAAGTGCAGGATAAAAAATGCCAAATAAGACACAGGCCTTGCTCTCCCAAAGCTTATGGTGAATGGAGAAGACAGAAGAACTGGAAATTACAGTAGTGTGAGAAGCTCAGCTGAAACGCAGGTGTTTCCCTTCTCAGAGGGGGTTCTCACCTCCCCACGCCTCAGTCAGAAGGTTGTCTTGGTTCCTTACCTTCTCAAGGGTCACTGGGTTTGTCACAGACACTGAGACACCCTAGTGACTCAGAGCCTTGTCCCCACTGAGCCCGTGTCTGTCCCTTCTCTATTGAGCCTGGGGAAATGATGAGAGGAGAGACTCTCCTTTCATTCCCTGATCACTCCGACCTGCTGATAGCATCAGACCCACATGGACTGCTCTGCAGATAGGAAGTTCTCTCCTGGAAGTTAGGGCAAACATGGGAGGGAATTGAATTCTGGCTCACTGGGACTGCCTGTGCTGCCCAAGGCAGGCCTTCTAAATGGAAGCCTTCACAGGCACGGTGTCTCACGTGTGGCCTCCACTGTCTTCTTTGCTCCCATGCCCACGGCATCCATGAAGGTGGCCTATCTTTTTAACTCTGGAAGACTTCAGGATCTCTGTATTGTTGGTGTGGAGGTTTTACAAGGGTGTATCTAGGTGTGGTTCTTTTCATTCCTCATGCTGGGAACTCAGTGGACTGCTTTGACATGTAGACTCATGAGCTTTTGTTCTTGTATTGTGTCTTTGATTGGTCAGAAGTTGGTCCTTCTGGACTGGTAATCTGGATCTCTCTTCTTACTGAGTCTTAGGTCTTGTTAACTACTTGGTCAGTTTTCTGGGCTATTTCCCCGACTCCAAATTTTCTATGGAAATATTGTTACTATGACACTGATGATTTTTATTTCAAAGGATTCTTTATGGATTGCTGGTTTTTCTTTCATCATAGCAACATGATCTCATTTCATGGATGCAGTTTTGTCTCAAATCTCTTGCAGAATACCAATGAAAGTGATTTTGGTTCACTGAATTATCTCCAGTTTCTCTGGGGTCATTTGTATTTGTTCATCTCGGTCTTTCTTACTCGTGTTTGTGATTTCCTCGTGTCTGATATTCCTTGGTTATCACTTAATGGGTGATTGACGGGGCTGGTGTGCAAGGGTGGGGAGTGTAGACTGCGGGGGGGTGGGGGTGAGCGGGCAGGGAGCCAGCCAGCATCTTGGGAACTCCCAAATGCTTGAATCCAGGGGAGGTTTCAGCTGTGTGGTCCCAGCCTTCACACTAGCTGCCATAGTTTTCCTGCCTGAGTGCTTGAGCTTCTGAAACTAACATCAGACACCTTCATTTTCTAACAGTCTGAGGAGCATCTCCACCAATCAGATCTCCTAGCATTTTCAACTCCTCATGCCCCCAGTATGCTCTCTTCCTTCCCAGTCCTGTTTCCTTCCCTGGGCTTCCTATTTTTGATAGCTACACTATCTTCCCAGTGTTAAAAACCACAGAATAATATCAGACTGATCTTATCCTCCACACTTAGTCTGTTCCCGAGCCCTTGAAGATATCTCCTGTCTCTGTCCATCCTCTTCTTCCCATCTTAGCCTCTCCAGTCAGATTGTCATTATTTATTCACTGGAAAAATTCCAAGTTTCCCTTTAGCCTCCTATCTCTCACTGCCAGATTGATATTCCCTGAATGACGTTCTCTTTACATAATTCTGCTATTCAGAATTCTTTCCTGTATCCCTTCTGTTTACTCATGATGGCCCAACTCCTTAATCTGGTGTTCAAGGGTCCAACCCACTTCTCCCACATTGCTGGCAGGAGGCAACAACATGCAGGGTGGGTTCTGGGGAGAGACAGGCACAGTCAGGTCTTGGCTCTGATGCTTACAGGGCAAATTATTTGCCCTCTCTTAGCCACAGGTTTCTCAGCTCTAACTCTGGGATAATGAAAGTACCTACTTTATGGATCATTGAGAAGACTTAATGAGATAATGCTAGCAAAAGAAGTAGTACAGGGCCCAGGGCATGATAATAAACAGTATTTGAAAGTTATACTTATGGCTACCACCATTGTTATTGTTGTTGTTGAATCCAATATCTTTCAGACAAATTGCCCTCCTCCCTGTTTCCTGAGTGAAGCCCATCCCTCCCACTTCTGTGCTCTGGCTCAAGTGCCCTTCCTCTTCTCAACACTTTAAAAAATTGTGGTAAAATAGATGTAACATTAAATCGACCATTTGAACCGTTTTTAAGTGTACAGTTTAGTGACACTAAGTACATTTTCATTATTGTGCAACCATCACCACCATCCATGCCCAGAACTTTTTCATCTTGCCTGACTGAAACGAGAATTCTGCATTTCCTCTCCCCGCCCAGCTCTTGCCAGCCACCATTCTACTTTCTGTCTCTATGAATTGTACTCTTCCAGATACCCCAAATAAATGGAACCATACAATATTTTATCCTTTTGTATCTGACTCATTTCAGCTAGTATAATGTCTTTAAGGTTCATGCATGTTGTAGCACGTATCAGAATTTCACTTCTTTTTAAGGCTGAATAATATTCTATCATATGGATCTATCACATTCTTTATCCATTCATCCATCATTGGGCACTTGGGTTGTTTCCGTCTTTTGCTTATTGTGAATAATCTTCTGTGAACATGGGTGTGCAAATATCTGTTTGTGTCCCCACTTTCCCTTCTTTTGGGGATGTACCCAGAAGTGGGATTGCTGGATCATATAGTAACTCTATGGTTAACTTGTCGATGAACTGCCACGCTGTTTTCCAGAGCAGCTACATACACTGTCAATTTTAATCATCCTTTAAGGTCCAGTTCCGTTGCTACCTCCTCCCTGAAGCTCTTCAGTTCCCTTTCTAGACAGAACTCAGGTAGTGTTGGAATTGGGCCACGATTGTGCCCCTTGGGAGGCAGTCTACCACCTTGGGTTATGGTGTTTACTTGTAGATCGCCTTCCCTCAGCCCCCTTCAGGAGCAGCTTGTTTCCCACACTGCCTCACTCAGAGCAGGTGCTTGATACGGATTTTGTGAATGAAAGAGTTAATGAATGAATGAAGTAATCAACAGCCTTGTTCTGAATTACCAGGATATGCTGACACCTCTCAGGGGAGAATGCAGGGGATTAGTGGAAACTCTCCACCCCAGAAGAAGTCAGCTCCCCAAATGCTTTCGTACCTGAATGATGGTGGTGAGCTGCTCCCCCTGCATCCTCGCAAAGCCAGCATCACGCTCTAAGTGTTGCTTCCTTGGCTCAGTCTGCTCTGTCACATTAAGAAGCAGCATGTGTTGCCGGTGTCTGTCGGATTTGCCTAATAAGGAAAGCAGGTTGCCACCTGGGTCTGTGGAGACATTATTGGATGCATTGTATTTAAATTTTGTTTTCATGGAAAATTTATAGCCACCCCCTTCTACTCTAATGTATGAATAATTAGAAGCAATTACAAGGAAATTTAGCAAATTACTAAGCCATCTAGGAGTAAAAATTAGTGTTTATGGTGTTTTTCCTTTGCTGTCTGGCAATCCAAAGTGATATATGATGTGCATGCAGACACCAGGCACAGATATCATTCTATGCACCTAGCAGTTTTCCAGTTAAGATCATAAAAATCAATGCATGGCAGCAGAGTCTTGTGACATTAAAGGGCCTGCGTAATAAATATTGGATGATGGGGGAGGGGAATGATGAATTTGAGCAGTAGAAAGTTAACTACAAAAGGTTTTATGCTGGTGTATTAGAGATAACTTTTTTAAAGGTTTTTTTTTTTCTATTTAAAAATGTACATTTTAATTAAAGAAGTTAAGGGGAAAAAAACAGAAAAGTGAAAGAAATTTCAAAAAAGCTGCCCGGACTCTCCACCCCGAGAAGATTATTTTTCCATTTTGGCATATTGACTTTATATTTTCTATGCATGTTTCCATGTTTTATTGTGATAGTTTTTATCATACTGCACAAAAAATTTACTGTTTTGATTTTAAAATTTAATAGAGTCAATTAAACATACCCTCATGTTGCTATGGGCAAGCCACATGGATAACACATGATTATTTTACCTTCCCTATGATTGATCGTAGTTTTAGTTTGTTTCCTTTTTTTTTTTGACTGCATTGGGACTTCGTTGCTGCGTGTGGGCTTTCTCTAGTTGTGGCGAGCGGGGGCTACTATTCATTGCGGTGCGCAGGCTTCTCATTGCGGTGGCTTCTCTTGTTGCAGAGTACAGGCTTTAGGCGCATGGACTTCAGTAGTTGTGGCACGCGGTCTCTAGGGCACACAGGCTTCAGTAGTTGCAGCACACGGGCTCAGTAGTTGTGGCTCGTGGGCTCTAGAGCACAGACTCAGTAGTTGTGGCGCACAGGCTTATTGCTCCATGGCATGTGGGATCTTCCTGGACCAGGGGTTGAACCTGTGTCCCCTGCATTGGCAGGTGGATTCTTAACTACTGGACCACCAGGAAAGTCCCTTGTTCCCACTTTTAAAGCATTATCAATAATACTGCAGTGGACCTCATAGTACAAAGAACTTTTTTCTATATTTTAAAATTAGGATTCTAAGAAGAAGGATTCCTGGGATATAGACTTTTAGAAGTTCTCAATTCTTACTACCTAATTGCTTTCCTAAGGGCTTATACTTATTTGCTCCTTAACCTACGATGTTGAGAATACCTGTTTTGGGGCACCAACACAAGCATTAAGTAGCACTGTGAAAGTATTTTGCTACTTTAAGAGGCAGTTTTAATTTCTTTGGTTGTAGCTGAGGTTGGGTGAACTTGGAATCAGTCAGGTTCCATAGCTGGGAATAGAATTCACCTGATTGGGTTTATGGAGAAGATTTATTTCATTACATGCTTTGCAGAAGAAACAGGCCTGCGTTGGGCTCTGAGATATGACTTCGAGAGCTGCATCGCAGAGATCACAGAAAGAACTGCTTCTGCCCTGTGAAGCCACCGCAGCTGGCGGTGGAGAGGGGTGCGGGGGAGTAGTCTCTACAGGAAAACCGGAGCCCAC